TGCTTCTTCCTTTCCGTAGTCCTCTGTCCAACCAAAAGACTGTCTCTACCTGAAGAAAAAGTCCACCCCTCCCCTCGGTACGCTACCGGGCCCGCACGGAAAAAAATGAATTGGTCGTCAGAACTAAATATTAGTTAATTTCGTGACAATCGATCAAAAAATTGTTGAGGTAACTAATAATTTGTTTTCAGGACCAAGATTAAGTTGTCAGAACAAGCTGTTCGGTGCTTGAGCTAACGCATTCGTTCTAAAAACAAACCACGAATTGGCTCCTGCAGCAACGTGCTTCGTTTTAGCGACCAACTCTTAGCTCTGACAACTTAATCTTGGTCCTGACAACAAATTATTAGTTACCTCAACAATTTTTTGATCGATTGTCACGAAATTAACTAATATTTAGTTCTGACGACCAATTCATTTTTTTCCGTGCGCGGCCGCACGAACCGGCACGCGATGCAAAGCCACTGCCTCTTCCTTTACGTAGTCCTCTGTCCAACCAAAAGACTGTCTCTACCAGAAGGAGAAGTCCACCACGCCCCCCCCTCCCTTTTCCTCGCTCTGTATGGCACAGAGCGGGCGGTTTTCTGTCAACGCTCAGTGCCTCAAAAGTCATCCAATTTGAAATAATCATTTGAATCCTCGCATTATGCAGTGTGCCCTGTCCAGCCGCCCGCTGCTGCCGCGTCCCTTTTCATCTGAGCACCAAGGCGACGAAGAAATCCCCCACCTCACCCCCTCACCTCTCAATATTCGTCCCCCTCACTCACAATGAACAGAGCGAAGCGGTCAGTTTATCTGTACGGACAGGCCATCGCTCCTGGCCAGGTGAGGCCCCGCCCCGAGCAGCCGGTGGTGTGGGGTGGGCACTGGGCACGGCGATAGCGCGAGTGAGACCTCACGGGCCTCGGCACACCGTGCCAGGGAACCAGTCCGGAGTATCTCGAATGTAAATAACGGAGTTAGAAACGAGTATGTGTGACTTCTTTTTTGAAAAAGTGGTCTGTTTCATATTTTTTGAGGCCTTCTCTATCATTCTAGATTCTTCCCAAACGAGGGGGCAATAACTCCCTTTTGAAGTGTACACATGATTCCCGAAATTCTTGATTCCCGGTGATTCCCGTCCGCTTCTAATTACATAGGTTTTTCGGGGGGTTTTAGTGGTATAAAACTCTTATTTTGACTGATTTGTACTTATTTCTCTAGTTTCCCGCTTATTCTAAGCGATTTCTATTGATTTTGATCAATTTTTATCCTGATGATTCCCAGACAGGTGTACACATGATTCCCGGAGTTATTGCCCCCTCGTTCCCAAACAAATGCAAGTTGTCTTTGGTGGTTTTCAGTCATTCTATGAATAAATGACTGCCAGCTGGAAAATCGGTGTCCCACTGCTCTGCGCTGGGTCTCGTCGGTGGGGAATTCCGGAATTCCCCAACAAACGACAGCAACTGCAAATAACGTTAGTTTGAGCTCGGGCCTCGGTCTTAGATGAACGAGAGGACATAAAGTCTGTACTGTGCAGTTTTACGCGAATTCAGGCGACGCGGCCCCCACAGGGGCCTTCGTACATACTTCTTCGGCGAAGTCATATCTTAATTATCTTATGGTACGACCTAGTATAATTTTACACATTTCATTTTTTGTGTACCGATGACAGCAGACGGTGGTTTGGTGCATGTTTTCCCGTAGAACTTCCCTGACGACACAATATCCAGTCAAGGCACCGCCCCCCCCCCCATGCCAACATTTATCGAAATTTCTAATTTTATTTTCACTCCTAGAGTGTGCATAGTGTGCCTAGTTCTGACAGGTTGGACGAGGCTATGTCAATGATGGTGCCTGCGACGCGCTGGGTAGGCCAACCCGCCAAGCAGCTATGCGAAGTCGGCGGCCCACCCTGATCGCCCAAATGCCCAAATGCTGAACAGGGCCTCAACACAGCCAACTTATGATTGTGAAGGACACTTTGGCTGATGCATCTTCAGGAGACTCGACAAATAACATTTCACAGTAAAGACCGTTTGGCAAAGTACATTTTTAATTGCACAGCTCATGCTCATCTTATCTCAGCGCGGATGAGCCAGGTTTATTGCCAATGAGGCCTAATATAGAATCAATCTTCTGGCACTTTTCTCACGTTGTTACCATAAAAATACTTCACTTTGCCAACCTTTTGTTCTCAAGTTGTGTTCTGACATCAGATTACACAATTTAAAAATCTCATCCAATGTGGCGGGCACTGTGCAAGTCAAAGTCAGTACTCACAGTGTATACGGAAGACGTTTGATCTTGGTCTTTTTTTAGTGAACGTATTTTATCAAAGTTGATAAGTTTTTTGATGTTGAATGAACAAAGTGTGTTCTTTAACTACTGAAGGGTGGAAATATATGGGACGCGCATGAGCTAACTTGATGCCTGACTTGACATTGGCTCACTTTTGGACTTCCGGCACCAGATCGAACATGGCTGCCGTTGAAGACCAATATTTTTACGAAGATGAAGTTTACCGTATTGACAAACGTGGACAAATTGAATTTGGGATGGTTCTTGAAAATTCCGAACTTGTTAGCAGCGATGAAAATTCCGAACCTGAAGATGGCCCCGGGATGAAGAAGGGGCAAATTAGAGTAGCATGGCACCCCTCGGGAGTAGAAGAAGTCATTTCTGAGAAGAAGGTTAATTTCAGTTATTTGTGTATTTTATTATGTATTTTCGTTTTGTCCGAATACCTTTACTCATGCTCCGAAAACCTCTATCTTTCTCTCATGACATGTCTAACGTTGAAGTGTCTCGTGAGGTTATGGCCGTCTGTCAGCCCTAGACAACCCCCCTTCTATTTCACTTTAGTTTTTATTTTTAAAATTCCAGTAAGGATATTAAAGTAACAAATTAAATAATACCATTTTGAACTTTAAAACTGCAGCCAATGTTTCATGGAGCTATCACCAGGAAAAACGGGTTTATTTACCTCTGTTGACATTTAACCTCAATGAATCTGACAGCTGTCACTAGAATTGCTTAAGCCAATTATTGAAGCAAACTGTATTCTGACCCAAATGCATTACCCTTCAGTAAATTACTAATCCTATTTTCAGCATTTTTATCTCTTCATTTGTACAATTTAGCTTTTTGTTGACCCTTCGCATATATGCCCCTTTTTAAGTTGCAAATAAAAATGGCCTTATTATTATTACTATATCTCTATGTAGCATTGTACATATCCAATTCTACTTATGTTGTAGGTTGGATTGGCAGACCGTTCTTTGATGCCAGGAGATGTTGTCAGACGAATGATCAAAGGGAAAGACACCCAGCGGGGTTATTGTCGCGACATAAGTGTTACTGCCTGTGTTCAAGTTGTTGGAACTAAGCAAGTAATCCCCAATGTGAAGAGTGAGCACTTGGTTCCTCTAGAGGTTTGTTTATTTCCCTCTCTCTGAATTTTCACATCATCGTTTTTCTACTATTAATATGATTGTACCATATTTTACAGGAATTTGCTGAAGATATTGCTGTGTGTTTAGATTCTTGGGTTGGTGGTATTAAAATGGTTCATTCAAAACTCCATCTGTATCTTCCTGATGCTGGTCCAGGTTCAAGATGTGTTATCAATGAATTGGAAGCCAATGGATTAGATGAGTTTGATGAAAAGAAAGATCCTGATTCAGAGTTTCCCCATAGGAGTGATTATTATCCAGGACAGGTTCTGTATGGTCCTTTACATTGCCTCGAGTATGCTAATTGGACTCAGTGCACAAAAGATATGAAAGCTCAAAGGAGTAAGCCCAATAAGGTTGTCCAGGTAAGTTACTTTGCTGTGAATCTTTGAATCATGCTTGAATATTTCTTGTATTTATATACCCCATAATTCCTAGGTGGTTGTTGAGGGTGTTGAAACTACATCTGTAGGAGTTCATTGGCAGTGTCGTGCCTACTCTAAAGATGGTGCTGGAAATGATAAGGAACAGCCGAAGTTTCTTGTGCAAGGTGAAGATTTAAAAAGGTATGTAAAATTTGCATGTCCTCTTTGATTTCTTTTAAATTTCTTTTAAGAAATTTGGAAATAAACTTTGATGTGCATTGCAGACTCAAGCTACTCAATGTTTTTGAACCCTGCACTCTGCAAGTTGGTGATCGAAATTATTACACTTTCCGAGAGGAGGATACCGTCATAACAAAAGAGCACTGGAAACGTAATCAACGTGAATTATTTCGACCTACGCCCAAAGAGCGGGACCGTGGTACTGACAACCAAAATCATTGTCGTCGCTCATCTCAGAAACAAAGTATGACTGATAAATCTCAAAGTTAAAATTATTTTTCAGTTGTATGTTACAATTTCTAATTGTTTGTTTGTTTTGGTTTCTTTACAGTCATATTAAATGGACCGGCAACCAAACCATCAGCTGCAGAGCAGCTTCACAATTCCACCAAGACCAATCTCCGTCCAACTAGAACAACCCAAGATATTGATATAATGTCATGTCAGGACTCTAAGGCAGCTGACTCTGGTGTAGCTCGGGTCAAGGAACCTGTAACAGAACAAATTAGGAAAAAGAGGTCTGCAGGAGAGTCCAAATTAAGTTATAGTCGGCAAAAGCTACCAGAAACATCAACCAAAGCTGGATCTCACTCATCCAAGAGATTGGCTACTGGAGAACATAGAGTTGAGGACTCTTCACATTTAAATAAATGTGATGGAGTGAGTCAGGAAACTACTTCAGAGGACCAGATGTGTGAAGCATCTGGTAATAAAGGATGTTCTTTAGTGAAAAGCCATAATGTTAACACTAGTCAATTGGGTACTGAAGTTGATCATGAAGATGATTATAGCACTTCTGAAGAAACATCTATCAGCAGTGGTTGCAGTAGTACTGGTTCTTTAGGTATGCATGCTTTTTTACTGATTAAATTCTGAGAATTACCTACAATGTCATTGCACCTACAATGTCATTGTACCTACAATGTTTTTCTGATATGTGTCTTTTTTTAGGTCTGAGAAAGAAAGGACCAGCACTTATGACCAAGGTGCTAAAAAAGAAGAAGTTGCGAAGAGCCAAGAAAAGGGCACCACAGGTATCTTTAGAGCCTGGGACAAGGGTAGTGGTTGAAACCCTGTCTACATCCTCTGTGGCTGATGTGATCTGGCAGGTAAAGTATTTCTCCTTAGCCAAATTACGTATCCTCTTTTTTTCAAAAATTCTTTATTTTCAATAGATAAATTACGTACTCTTGCAGGATGGATCTGTGGAGCGTGGCATTCCCTCAACTCAGCTGTATCCTATTCATCACTTAGATGATCAAGAGTTTTTTCCTGGAGACTTTGTTATTGAAAACAAAGATGAAAATTCATGTATGAGAGTCTATGGTGTTATACAAATGGTTGACCATGCTGGTCGGACTTCAAAAGTTAAATGGTTTAAAACCTACACCTCTAATGAAGAACCACAGTAAGACTATTTTTCAATGCCCATTACATGAAAATTCTCTTAATTTTAGATTTTTCTTAGGTTGTTAATAAATTGTGTTTCAGACCTACCTTGCTGGAAGAAAATGAAGTTAGTGTGTACGACTTGAAGGATCACCCGGATTTTCAGTATCGCCCTGGCACTGTTGTCATTCGTGTTGCCAATTTTGAAGGAGAAGATGTGAACTGTACAGCTGGGCAGGTCCTGGACAACTATCCTGAAGGACGGGTTAGTATGTGGCATTGCCTTAATTAAACACTTTCACTCTTCAACTGGATGGAGGTGTACATAATTAACTGATCTTTATTGCCCAATATTCATTTTCTGGTAATTTTATTTCTGTGCAGGTTAGAGTATGGTGGGTTGATGGCCACATCTCAATGTGTTGGCCTCAAGATTTATACAAATGTGGAGAATATGACTCAGAGGATGGAGAACTGTGGGAAGACACTAATAGTGAAGCATCATGGGAAACTGAAAGTGAAGACACTGTTGCTGGAGAGGGGTAAGTTGCGATTTGATTATCTATCTATTTATGAATGCTATTCTACTTGGCTAAAGAAATTACTGATCTGTTCTGATTTTTACAGTGAAATTGAGCCAGAATACGAATCACTTCGCCCAAAACTTGCAGCTAATATAGAGAAGGCAAGGATCGCAATGTCACGGTTAGAAGAGATATTCACTCAAAATCCTGCTCTTCAAAATACAGATGTCATGAGGAGGCTTCTTGAGGTCTACAAGGACTGTCGGTGGGTATCATTTATTCAGATTTATTTTCCTTCTAAAATTTGAAATTGTCTTCATCTTAGTTTCTTTTTTCTCAATGCCTAGGTACCTTGACAAACTTATGAATACATCATTCTTTCATGAAAAACATTTTGAAGGATTGTTAGAGAAAGTACGTGAAAGAGGCAGGGTTAATGTTGCACAAAGAGTCGCTGACCAAGTATCACGACTGTTTCATCCAAATAGTTCAAGTACACCTCTGTCAGACCCTGATTCAGAGGCTTTCCCTGAATTAGCTGTTACACTGCAGTTGGCTGAACAAATCAATGAACTTGTTCAATCTCAGTTCTCTGCTTCTCAAATGCCTCCTAAGAACTCCAATTATTTCTTGGATAAGTTATATGAACATCACTACTCCTTGAAAAAAGTTTCTCAGCACATCAGACAACTGTTTCAAAACTCTTTGTGCCCTCGCAACGCCTCTCAAGACAAAGATGCTTGCAACAATGAAAAACAGGATGGACCAAGTGCTAATGAAAGATTCCGAGTTCTTGGTGAAGCCAAATTCAATGCTTGTGACTTTGGTGGCAGTGACTCCAGCAAGACTTATACTTTAAGGCTCATCTTTGTTCACCCTGATGATAATTCCTCCTCCCCTGTTAAATCTACAAATGCTGGAGGTGCTTCCACACCATTGTGTACATCACCAGCAACTCAAGATACATCCAAAAATATTGAAGAGTTTGATTCAGAAAATGATGCCAGTGAGCACCCTATTCATCAATTGGATGAGGGTGATCGAGAGCACCAATCTCTTCCAGAGAAAATAACATCTGGTGAATTCTTGGCTGAAAGTCTGTCAAGCTTAGAGAAAAGGGTGTCAGTTGCAGCAGCAGCAGCTGTAGCACCAGGGTCTACAAGGAGACTTGCAAGAAAGATGTCTGTTATTCTTAGTGAGTGATATTCTTAATGAATGATTATATTGTAAATCAAACATGTTTTTCGTTGACTAAAAATTTTATATCTTAATTTTAGGTAAATTTGGCGGCAGTGTTAGATGTGAGCTTTTAGTAGGAGATGAAGTTGTTTATAGTAAAGATCTTGGATCACCAAGATCACGTACTAACCAGAGCTCTTCAGCTCAGCCATCTCCTAGTAAAATCAATTCACTTGATTCTTCGAGGGAGGAATCGTCTACTTCAGCCCAAGCAGTTGAAGAAATGGCTATTGCATCATCCTCTGATGCAGAGGATCCTGCAGATGCTGCTAATAGCAATAATGCTGTATGTGTAAGGCTTTGTTCATTAATTAAAGCTCAACTGGTCAAAGCTCATGCTGAAGTTACACGGAGGTATGGAGGTCAACAATTGCCGATGACTTTGAGTGACGCTGCCAATTCTGTCTCTCCTGGAAGTAACCCTGGTGAAGTTGTTGAAATTTCTACCCCTGTAGTTCCAAGTGTACCAAACATACCTGGTAAGAAATGAAAGATTTCAATATAGCCATGTGTGATAGGTTTTTATTTTGCTGTGGTATCTAATTGTTTCCTTTATTATCAGGACCTGAAGAAGTAATTGAAGACACACCACCTCCGGATTTGAATATTTCTACACAATCTACAGAGTCGGAAAATTTGCCTGATGCCAGCAATGCTCCTTCCACTTTGCCTGATGAGAGTGATAATGGCAGTAAGTATTCAGTAAAGAATCATTGCCAATTAACTTTGAAAAGTGATTTATGAGTTTCGATGAACACAGTATGTATAATGGTTTCAGTGGAATCCAATTTTAATGTATAATTTTATTTTCAGGTTTCTCAATTGAGGATAATGCACCAATTAGTCACAAATTCAAACTCACCATGTTCCAACCTGTTGACCATCAAAACTTCTATCGTACTGTTCGTAAAGAAATAAAACTTCTCCGCTCTGCTCTGCCATCTGGTATTTGGGTGAAAGGATTTGAAGATCGAATGGTAATACATAGCTAATTTCTTTCAGTTTCATTTTGCATTCCAAGTTGTAATGAACAATCTGATAAATGTCTCTTTGGCACTTGGTTTGTTGTAAAGTGTGTAAGTTTCTAACAAAAGCCAACCATTCTCTGATTTTAAACAGGACCTATACTCTGTTATGATTCGAGGACCTGAAAAGACACCATATGAAGATGGGTTGTTTTTATTTGACTTTCAACTTTCTCCCAACTATCCAAATGAACCTCCACTTTGTCATTACATTAGCTACTGCAGTGATAGATTGAATCCAAACCTTTATGAAGATGGTAAGGTCTGTGTTAGTTTACTTGGAACATGGAGCGGTAAGGGAACAGAACTTTGGTCTTCAAGCTCAAACCTGCTCCAAGTTATTGTGTCAATTCAAGGTGAATACATTTAATTTCTTACAAATTTTCCTTATCCTAAAAGAGGTGAAAAGACATTTAATGACTGTATCCTTTTCTCTTTTTTAGGGTTAATACTTGTAAATGAGCCTTACTTCAATGAGGCTGGATATGAAAAGCAAAAAGGTAGCCAACAAGGAAGAGAGAACTCCCGAATGTATAATGAAATGGTACTTCTGAAGCTGGTTCAGGCTATGTCTAAATTAGTTCAGAATCCTCCACCAGCATTTGAAGAAGATATAAGATCACATTTTCAACTTCATGCTCCAAGGTAAAGAAATGATTTTATCCTAATGATACCTCTGAAGTCTCCAAAACTAGAATTAACAAATTTACTTTTGTATCTGGTATTTTTGACTTTGCAGATTTTCCGCACGCCTGAGTAAATGGCTGGAAGTTTCAGATCGTTACAATAACTTGCACCCTCTTTCACCTACTACTCCCACATCATTTAAAGAAATTGCTGGAGATGGTAAGTTGAAAATGGTAGAGTTTTTGTGTCTTTTTTTCTTATTTTGACCTTTTTGAACATGTAGAATTCAGTTTTCTATCATAATTTCTGTTTCAGATCTTGCATTGCCGGAGTTTCCATTAATTCCAGCCTCAAAAGGGTTTTGCTTGACTCTAAAGAAAACATTATCTTGTTTTAAAGAAATTATGTCAATTCGTGGCATAATTCCATCCGAAAATGTTGGAGAAACGCTGTCTGAAAATGAACCTATGCCATCAACCTCTAGTTAGCAGTGAGTGGTTGGTGCCATACATCCCATTAAACATTTAAAATCAGCGGACATTACTTGTACCCTTTCTGAAAGAGGTAGTTTGTAATTGTTCTATGGTTGACATTATCTCTGCTGCCAGTGGTACGGTGAGTGGAAACCAGTTCCTACATCAGTGCTTTTTAATATGTTTTGTGTTAGGCAATGTCAACACTAAACAAGAGTAAACTTGCATATGAAGAACAACTTTTAAAATGTGATAAGAATCATTAATTTAAAATTAAAATTATGAGAGCCAGGATGAAGTATTCTCTTAACATGAAAAATAAATACAGAAACAAACTTTCACTTGGTAATCAGATTCTGGAAGGTAATTTAATTACATATGCCATTTTATAGATAATATTGTAGACTAGATTATATTTTACTGGTAGTATGCAATCTCATAAAAAAATCTTGCACTGCAAGATTTACTCTTGTTAGGTCAAACAACACTGTGGTTTGAAGGAAGCACAAATGCATTGTGTTGTTTATTGCGGTCTTGAACTAGTCAGTCAGTGTCAGAAGGATTAGTGCTGCACTTCAGCACAAAGTTGGTTATTGCTAATCCAGTTCTGTTATTGAAATGTAGGCAAATCTTCTTTATGAAGAAAATTGAGTTTTCATAAAAGAGCTCAAATTTGGGAGGGGGTGGGAGGGATTGATGTGCCACTTTCCTATTTCTGATATTTACACATTTATCCTGCAGTGCATGGAATGCTGTAACATGCCTTAATGTACTTGTGGATGATATGTATTTTGTGATGTAGTTTTAATTATTTATTATGAGTGAATAGACTTGTTCATTTTTTAAGCATAAGTTTCATATTGCATTATTTGTATCACTCTTTGATTAAAATATTACTCTAACTGGCCCATTGTGTAATTTATAATCATAAATTTTAATCAGTCTATGTGGCTTTTGGAAGAAAAAACATTTCTCTTTTAACTAGTTTTCCTAAGTATTTATGTTATGTTACATTGTTGGCTGATTGCAATGTGGCCAATTTTCAATTGTTTTATTCATACTTCAGACCTTGACAGGCTTTTTGATGTGTGAGAGAAAATAATGCACAACACAATTCTCAAAACAGAGTTGTAAAGATTTAAAAAATATAAAAAAATGTACATAAATTATAGCTTATTTGATTTTTCTGCTGTCTTTTTGGTAACATTTTCAGTACTGTGTCTCGAAAAAAAAAAAGTAATTAATAGCGATATTTTAAGATTGCTGAATTTAAAGTTATCAACTTGTATTTATGTATGAAAATATTTGTTGAAAGGCTAAACAAGGGTGATACTGGACCTGCACCTGTACACTGTAATTTGTTTTGTTTTGTGTGATATGTCAAAATAAAAAAGTTTGTTGATTTAGCCTTAGCATTTTACTTTTCAACTGAATATCAACATTCCACTAACTTTACTTCTCCGTCAAAACTTTCCTTGCGCTAGGTGAGATGAAGTGGGTCAGTAACAAATATTAAAGAATAAGTGGCGAAGCCACTATGAATCCCATTCAACACGAAAAAACTCACAACGGAGCCAGTTTGAGTCATTCACAGTTATCGACTCTCACTGGTGAGTTACTTTCTGCCTAGATGAGCATTCACCGACTCTCCGACAGCGTAATAAATCGTTGTTTTTGTAATAGAATAAGAGAGAACGTAAATAGGGTAAAGACTCGTCCTGACTCTCCAACAACGTCAGTTTATTAATTTTGCGGCCTGTTGCTATAATAACTGCATAGGGGCCCAATTGCAACTAGATGTAGCAACGGTAACAGCACCAATAAGCGATAAGTGAAAGTAATTTTGTGACGGACATTATCTTTTGTATTCATCAATCAATTGTTTTTGAAGGAGACTTAATTTTTCACTTTACCACATTATTTAGTAATATTCAAAATATGAATCTCAAAGTATTTGTGTGGTTCAGGTGAAAACTGTGGCTTTTGTAGTCACTATGTTATAATTTACACAACGAAATATGTATTTGGTAGTCATACACTTTGTAAGTGTTACTTAATTTTTGTTTCCCATGTATGCTATTAAAAAGAGAGAAATCAAAAAATCTCAGGCTTCAACTGCCAGCCTCGTATTTTGAAGGCAACCCGACGCTCACTGTGTTGTTCAATTTTCTGAAAAAAAAAAAAAGATACTGTTTCAAATCGAAGAAGAATGACCCGCAGCAGCTTGCGCAGGGGGGAAGGCGAAAGGAGTCGATAGGAAAGAGCCCAGGCCCAAGCCCCTGAGGCGCTCAGGGAGGCCGCCTTCTTCACAGAGCTGCTTGGCGGGTTGGCCTAACCAGCGCGTTGCAGGCGCTCTCACAAGCGTCGGTGAGGGTCATTTATGCTCAGGCCTTAAAAGACCTCGAAACTGTCACGGACATCGGGGCGGCGTCTCCAGCGGAATTTATTGGCTGGCTCGGCAGCACGAAAATCACATAGTGGGTGTGAGAACGGCTGCCCAACCATTTCCAATGATTTTTAGTATCGACTCTATTTTGGGCCGCAAATCAACGAAAAAAACGATGTCGATTCAAAGTTATATTTTTTTACTGGGCGAATATGCTCCAGTGTCGCGGGTGAAGAGAGTAGGCAAACCCGCAACCCTGGAGCGCATTTAAAGATACACCCAGCACTGGAGATGGGGCGGGGAGGGAAGCTCATATGGTGTAGGGCTTGTTTATGGATGCACATGCATATTTGTTTAAATCATGTTTAAATATATAAATAGCGAGAGATCGGCAGTGTAATACTGGAATCAGCAAATCGCCGTTGGTAAACAGGTGCGCGCGCGCGCATGCCTACCGCACGTGATTAGAACTTGAGTCACAAATGAGAGCCACAAATACGTCATCAAATTTCAGATTTCAATAAATTTAGAGACTTAATGCATACTTGATACAGAAATTTAATTCAGGCAATTTCTTCTTAAAAAGTGGAGAAAGGCCCAGTCATGTCTTTGGAGACGATTCCTTCTAGATATTCCGCTTCGTACGGGAGCCTCATTGACTAGTCGAGTTGTCAACCGGCGCCAGCGGCGGTAGACCGCTTTTGTTTCTAACTGTGCCGTGAAGGTGTATCGTCAAATGACACAGTAAGCATAGCATAGGAGCAAGCCATGTCATTCGCAGGTATGTTTCATCAAATTAGTAAGCAAATAGAATGTTTGGTTCTCGAGGTTCAAAAAGTTTATCCATGATATCCGCACCTTAGCAAAGAGTTTATGTCACAGTCATATGTAGGGGGGTTAGTCACTTATGCTTACGTACTACTGTGTCTTTTAAAGCTCCTTCGTGGCGTTCAAAGAAGAGGGATGGCCAGAGAAAAGATATAGAGGCTGCGGTGGCACAAGAGCAGTCGCGTCTCAGGATAATAGGTTACAACTTTCTACCCGCCGACCAGCTTCGCGGCAAGGCTTTGGTCAAACTTGGGATACCGAGCAGCTTTGGCGGCAAGATCAACTGGGCCCAGATCGGGTAAGTTTTAGGTTAAAGTTTTGGTACTGAGTCAGAGACGAAGTCGACGTATCCCCCAATGTTTCTCTTGGTGTGGTTCATACACCAGGCTCGTATCCAGGGGGGCGTTCTGAAAGGTCATGCCCCTCCCCCTCCTTTTCTCTCGGGGGTGTTGTAATGTGTGTATGTCTATAGCTAATGCATCTTTGTTTAACTGGTTGTGTGCAGGCCAAATTTCAGTCTGCAAATTCGACCAACGACCACACCGGCATACGGACCACCTCCGTACCTAGGGCCGCGTAAGTTCTTTAAGAGTCGTCTGCCACGGCCGCCCGAAGACCAGTGCCGTAATGTGGTTCCTCGACAGATCACCTCGTCAGATGGAGGCCGCCGAGATCGCGTGCGCGAGCCCGCTCGTAGAACCGAGGTAATTGTCGCCTTTCCTTGCTCTAAGGGTAGTAGTACCGGTCTATCATACCTTGACCAAGCCCAATAAAGCATTCCGGTAAAGCTGAAAAGAAGAATAATGCAGGGAACAACAGAACGGAAATCACTATGCTTGAACATCATGACTTCCATTTTTTGTTCCCCGCATTCTTCTGCGTTTCAGCTTTACCGGAATACTTTATTCTTGCTAAACTTTGTTCTTTACAGGAAACCACTCCCGAATTGTTCAAAACCACGACGAACAAGAAAGACCCCAGGAATAGAGGTGCAGGCCCCACGGGCCCCACGGGTCGCCGGCCCTCCAAACGGTCGCTCTTAAGGGTCGAATCCGAAGACAAGGGCCCAAGCATGACCCCAGCCGAAACGCCTGAACCAGCAGCTGTGCAACCCCGAGCCAGAGGAGAGGGGCAAGACGCGGGCCAGCTCAGCGACGCCTTCGAGCCACCCAGCAGCCCCGAGGACCTCCACCAGCGGCGCAACAGGCCGGTGACGCTGGGCATCCTGGAGAGCAAGCACAGGCCTTCAAAGACCACGCGCGACGCCGTGGCGGCCAAGGCGAAGGAAATGACTCGGAAGTTGGTCGAGCGAGGAAACGGCCGTGTTCCCCAGGATGAGGCTCGAGTCCCAGAAGAAAACGCCCGCTTGGACCACGCCGCCGGAAAGAACCAGAAGCTGACCAGTCGCGACGCCCAAGAAGTG